TAACCTGGGGCTTGAACTCAGAACCCTGAGATGAAGATCTGAGTGGACATCAAGAGCTGGATGCATAACCAACTGAAATACCCAGGTGTCCCAGTGTTTTCAAAATTAACACCAAGGGCAAAGTTCAAACCAGTTTGAGTCTACAGGGCTTGTTGCCACGGGTGCATGTCTCAGCCTATTTAGGTTGTTGGATACAGAGAAGACAGGCTTCCTTGGAGCCCCCACCCCAGGAACCTTGTGCCCCTCATGTGGGGGTACTTACCATCTACATCCAGACCCAAGAAAGTTTCCAGGGTATCAAATATGGATGAGGCACTTGTATACGGCCTCCAGGTGTCTGGCAGGTCATGGCCAACTGAAGAAGTCAAATAACATTCGTCCAGTGAGTCCTGTGGGACTTCATTCCCTTCTGCTACTGGCAGCTCCCTGGGGAACCTGGTGTGACAGGGAGGACTGGAGATGCAACGAGAAGGTTGAGTCAACACGGAGTCCCAGCTGGTTTTGATGGCAGGGAGGAGGGACTGGTCACAGGAAACCAATGGGAAGTCCCCATCAAGGGAGATGAACCATTCTGCCTCTATCTGGGGCCAGAGTGTGGCTGCACTGGGGATAGATCACGGAGGCGGGGAGGGAGCGAGAGCAGGAGGTGCTCAGAGCATGGACAGAATGGGAGCTTAAGGGAAGGAGTCTGAACCAGCCCTGTGCACAACAGTCACAACACATAGCACACTCAGAAAACAATAAAACCGGCATCAACACTTTTGCATACATTTTGTGGAAATTTACAGAAATCACCAAGACAACCCCAGATTGGCAGCATTGTAGATTCCTAGAAAGCTCGTATGTCCAAGGCCTACTTGTCTAAATACTGAGACATGAATTTTTGTTTTCCTAAACACTTTCCTTGCCATGAATTCCTGCCAACATCATAATGTGAAACCAGCAGCGACAGATGGGCATTTTGGATGGATCCAATACAAAGTGTCCCTGTGACTGCTTAGGGTACCTGCATCAGTGGACAAGAGGTTCCTACATTTGGGGGGGATTAAGAAAGGGGCTTCTAGAAGTACCACAGTGAAACAGAGAACATTGCTAACGGAACATTTTGTGGGTGGCTGAATGGGTAAAATAGGTACGCTCAGCACTTTCTAGATTTGCCTTGATCTGAGATCACGAGATGTCACCATTGAATTAAAGCCTATGATTCTTCAGATTTACCTGGGGCATATCCAGTCTTGGTCTTCCTCCAAAAGATCATTATGATTTTCTACAAACAAATACAGACAGGTCCAGTCACATTAAACAGAACATTTGTACATTAAAATGAAGTATCCAATACAACTAGTGCATGGGCATAATTATCCTTAGTGGGGCAGCAGGATATTGTGAGAGAAATCCTCCTGGAGGCCTCAGGTAGTACCTTGGGATTGTGCCTTGGTTTGCTTTCCTATACCATTGGGCATGAGCTCCCTAATGTGATAGAGCCACATCTCAAGTGTCTGTGTACAGAGTGAAACATCTGTTTTACCACAGATTCTGGGGAACAGCTTACCTGCATTCTAAAACCTTACTGCAACAATCCCTCATTCCCTTATAGTATGAGATGCTCTAGGTGTGAGGGTTTAAGGGAATTTAGACACAAAGACCAGGCTGATGGATGGAATCTGCAAACCCTCACAGCAAGAGGAATCTATTGTGTACAGTCCTTTGTGCTACACAGACATATGAGCCATGCATGGGGAGGGGCGATGCCCAGGCTCAGCTTTGCTTCGAGGAAACATACAAGGAGGCTGATGGTAGAAGCGTTGATGTGCAATACTCCGACGATGACTCAGTGTAGACAGACAACACAGAGGATACAGACACTGGGGATCGGTGCAGTGAAAGCAGGGAAATGACAAGACCAAAGATACAGGTAAGGGTGACAACATCTTGGGACAGGCACAAAAATTCGAGGGATGTTTTTGGGTCTACAAAGGAGAGCAGTGCATCTAAGGAGAGGCATTTAAAGGAAATCAGGAACAAAGACAGACACCTCTGCATATGCAGCTCAAGTGAGAGTGAGTTCGTCACATCTGCCTTGACTCCAATGTCCTAACTTCTGTCAGGAGCCGTAAGCATGGCTGGAGATGAGGAACAAATGGTAGGTCCCTGACTCACCTGATGTCTATGGTGAAAAGTCTATCCTGGGGCCTGACTCAGATCCCTATGTCTAGCGGGCTTCTACACAGCGATGACACATCTCAGCGGAACCAGAGGTTGGATACCAAACATAGCGGGGCAACTTGGGAGGCCCGTTCGAGCTTTATCACATTGACAGTGGAGGACTCACGAGCTGCTTCCAGAGGAGAACAGATGTCCAGATTTTGGAAAGAGTTAATGTCAGCCCTCCTAGAATTCCCGTGGGGGTCAGACAGGTCAGGAAATGCTGAGGAAATCATATAGCATTCATCCAGTGAGTCCCATGGGTTGTCCTGCTCTTCCACCACTGGCAGCTCCCTGCTGAACCTGGTAGGGTGGGGAGATCTGAACATTAAGACAAGAAAGGTGGACCTCCCACCATCCTAACGGTTTTGATGGGCAGCTGGGAATTACACTCATAACAAAGGGGCACACCAATTTTTGACAGCAACAACTCTGCTCCTGTTTCAGGCGGCCGTGTGGTGCTGTGGGGGCAGTAGATATAGAGAACAGAAGGTGCTCAGGGCAGTGGCCACAGAACTAAGCTTCTGAGCAACAACCTGAACTGTTGTGGAAAGGAAGTCATGACTCACAGCCTGCATGGATAATCCTAAAGGTGACTTCAACACATTTACGTAAATGTTGCTGATACTACCTTCACTGACCAAGTGAACACGGGTGTTAAAAGGCATCTTCAAAATGGAGACATCTTGTGTCTTCAGTGTCTCTTTCTCTAACTACTGTGACAGGAGGTGTTCTTTTCCTATAATATATCCTCAATGTGGTAACACCAAAGAGTTAGAGGCAGATATGCCTCTCACTCTGGTTTTACCAAAAAGAGAAGAGGGGAATGCGGAGAATCCCTGTGAAGGATTAGTTCACAAAGTTCAACTGACTGCAGGTTATTGAAATGGAGGGGTCAATAAAAGGAACGTAACCGTGTCACACGGTGAAGACATACATCAAAGTTAAAAGAGATACTTTGCAATTGGAGAATGGATGCAATAGATATGTTCGGCCATTTCTATTTTTTCCTTGAAATGCAATCCTTCAGTTTAACCACTGAAATAACGACCCATGATTCATCAGAGTTACCTGGGGCATGCCTGGTCCTGGTCTTCTTCCTCCTCATGGTGGAATTGATTTTCTGTAATTATATAGAGACAGGGCTGGTCATGAATGAGATCCTTCTCGGTACGTTAATAATCCAGTGTCTCATGTTACCCACACACTCACATATGTTCAATGTGAGAACAGGTTTAGTCAGAAGAATATGTCAGGGTGCCTCCGATATTGTCATGTAATAACTGGCTTGATTTCCCGGCCTGAGCCATTTGGAAAAATTTACTCTATCTAGGATATTAACAACAGAGTCTCCCCTGGCGTCTGTGCAAGCACTTGAACTTCTCTCTTTGACACAGATTCTGGGGAGCCAGCCTCCCTGCATTCTAAAAGGATCACTGCAGCATTCAGCCTTCTTTCGTCAGTAGCCTGGTTGTTGAGGGCTCAGTGGAATTTGTACACTGAGACTGAACAGATGGAATGCAACTACAGACACTCAAATTCACGTGAGTCTTTGGTGCTACTCAGAACATTGGCCTAATTCATGTGGTGTGAGAATGCCAAGGCACAGCTCTGCTTCGGGAAACACACAATCAAGCTATCAGTAGAGACACTTAGGGTGGGTTTTCAGACAACTCTTTAGGAAGACAAGCCAACCGATAGGAGACAGAGAATGGGGCTAAGAACAGCAAAACCAGTTAACCCTGGACAAGAATGCCAAGTGACTGCGGCAGGCACAGATTCTTAACGGACCCACCTCCGAGATGAAACACAGAGCTTATTAGAGGTGAAAAGAGACATTTCATCCAAATTAGGTCTGACAGACAGGTTTTATGGTCGTGTTGCTGAGGTGAGTTGAGCTTGTCGTGCCTGCCTTGGCCCAACAACAAAGTGACAGAGAAATCAAGGTAACATGGGCATGCCCTGGGACTAAGAAGAGAACAAATTTGCCTCGCCCACCTGATGTCTGTGCTTAAAACTCAATCCTAGAGCCCAGTTCAGACCAGTTTGTCTCTACAGGGCCTGCCCACAGGGATGACCTCTCTCGGCACAGCAGAGGTCTGGGGTACAAAGAACAGGAGATCTTTGTGGGTGTCCAGGTGGAGCTTGATCAGGTGGACAATGTAGTACTCACTGGTCACTTCCAGAGAGGAACAGACTTCCAGTTCCTCGGGTAGGAAGATGGTGGTGCTCCTGTAAGGCCAGTAGGAGTCAGACAGGTCGGGGAGAACTGAGTATGTCAAGTAGTGTTCATCCTGAGAGTCCCTTGAGACGTCCTGCTGTACCCCCTCTACCAGCTGTCTGCTGAGCCTGCAGGGTAGGGACAAGTGAAGATTAACCTAAGAGGGATCTGAAGTCATATGTCCTGTCAGGCTTTGATGCAAGGCAGGAAAGAGTGGTCAAGAAAGCAAAGAGGGGAATGACCCATTAAAAAGAGAAACAATTCTTGTTTTTGTGGGACACGTTGTGTTTCTCACAGGGGCAGCTGTTCGAAAGGAAAATAAGTGCTCGTGCACGGGCCAAATAGCAAGCTTCTGACGAAAGAGACTGAATTATCTCTGGGCCGTCCACTTATGACTCATAACACACAGAGTCCCACAATGGTGGCCTTCCCTCTTCCATGCAAATGGCATTGAATTCTGCATGTAGTGGCCAAGCACGAGCAGCTCTGGGGGCAGTGGACTGTCACAGAAATCTCATGCCAGGAAGCCCTCTTTCTCTCAACCTTGTGGCATCATAGAACATGTTTCTCTACTTGCTATGATATTTTAATGTTATGAACACATGTCAACATGCGAAATCTAAAGACAGAGAGCAGATGTGCATGGCTCTCTAAAGCACACAAGAATGAGCAAGCACCGTGGTCCCTGTGACATATTCGTAAACCCGGGTCAGCGGACTGTGGGGTACTCAACTCTAGAAGTCACTAAGAAATGGGAAGCAATCCCAGTACAACAGTAAAGACAGAGAACATTGTGAAACTGGTAATTTGCCCTTGACTGCATGGATAATACCGTGCTCGTCAGCACTTTCTGCTTCTCCCCGGGTGCCACTTTTGAATCCCCATCCCCCGAGTGTCCAGAGTTACCTGGGGGCAGCCGGCTCTTGTCTTCCCAGACCCTCCTGATCAGTTCGGTCTTCTGCAAATAATGAAGAGAAAGAATTACGTTAAGCACATTCCCCTTCACAGATGCCCACTCCTATATCCTGCATAGCACAGGACAGAAATAGAAGCTCAGCAATACCAGGCAACTGTGAGTGTAAACATCCAGGAGCGCTTAGGTAAGGCCTCGTAGGCAAAAATTGGGATGGTACTCTTGAGTCATTAAACCAATATCCCTGATAAAACAAGCCATCCTCATAGCATCCTAAACCTTGAGTCTAGGCAAACAAACT